CTTCTCCCTCTGCCTGTGTCTCTGCCTCTCTCTCTCTCTCTCTCTCTCTCTCTCTCTCTCTTCCCCCCTCTCTGTGTCTCTCATGAATAAATAAATAAAATCTTTAAAAAAAAAATTCTAAGTCTGAAAGTAATTTCTTCCAAATTAAATTTCCAATTTAAGATAAAATTTTACGACTTAACTTAAACATGAATGTCAAAATATAGGGAAAATGAACTTCAAAACCACCTTTTTATGAAATCGAAGACCCCAGAAATTAAAATATTTACATTCTTATCTATCCTTTATTGAAAAATCAAGGTAAATGTAATTCACAATTTACTGAATTGAAAAAGTCTTACGTAAAAATGTCATAGTATTTTAACAGATCATAGTTAAAATAAATGGTCTGACATGTTGGTAAAAATCTTCTCAGTGGGAGTCAATTTACTTCACTTACAGGAAGGCAAAAGTCACCACATTAAAATCACAAGCCAATTACCAATCCTGGCTTTGCAATTCCCAAATCCTGAAAACAAAATTATTGCACTTCACTCTGGGATCATTTGCATGTATGCTTTTAGTGTCAGATAACATTTTTAGAGAAGAGAAAATTTAAATCTACCAACAAGAGTGGCACAATTTCAAAATATGGTACAACTTTCAAAATCTAGATTAATGGCCTACCTACTTTTGTACTTTACATTTTGAAAATAAACAGCATCAGATGCTTCTGAAAACAGTATCTACCTACCTGTTCACTTACTTGCTATCACTTTTATATACGAAAAGTCTTCTAAAGCTAGGGGAAACATAAATCCAGTAAAGATAAGGACTCTATTTGAAATCTCGATGGTTTCCAAAATCAAGAGTAGCCACCAAAAAGTTAAGAAGGCACTTAGGAAAAAGATTCCCTCTCCGAAGTGGGGCAAAATTAGTTAAGAAAAAACGTTGGGCGCAGCCCGGGTGGCTCAGCGGTTTAGCGTCTGCCTTTGGCCCAGGGAGTGATCCTGGAGACCAGGGATCAAGTCCCATGTCGGGTCCCAGCATGGAGCCTGCTTCTCCCTCTGCCTGTGTCTCTGCCCCTCTCTCTCTCTCTCTCTCTCTCTCTCTCTCTCTCTCTCTCTGCGTGTCTCTCATGAATAAATAAAATCTTGTGTTTAAAAAAAAAAGTTGATAATTATTTTGTTATCAGTTCATTTATCCATTCCTTAAGCATATCTCACATGTGCTGTAGAATTGTGCCACCAAACTTACGGAGCTGTGCCTCATTCACCCCAAATTCCTTGGTTCCTAGCAAAGTGTCTTATACATAGTAGCAACTGAAAATAGGTTGACCGATTTAAAGCAATAAATATGTTCCTAATTCCAGGTAATCAATTAGGCTCGAACTCATGCAAGAACATTCATAATTTCATTTTAGCTAACAAGCACTGAGTAATCTGACATGTTTTTAATTTGCCAAGCTATTAAATGGATTTTAAGGTCTGAATTACATTCTTATATTTTAAACATATTCAAAAGAAAGTGTGTTGTGAAACATTAAAAAAATATACTCTTGCAAATAAAAAAGACGATGACTGGTATTATTGTGTGTAACATGGAGCTAGATGGTGTTGGTATGGTGAACATAATGTGACCAGGCACTGATGTAAAAGGTCTGTTAACACGACAAGAACATTATAAAGAGACTTAGAGGATGGAAAAATGGAATTCTGGCTAGAAAAGTCATAATGGGCAAGCAGGAGACTTAATTAATGTAGAGTAACTGCCGGCTCCACTCAGACAGGGTCCTGGGAAGGTGGGGAGCCTGTTTCCCACCAGGAAGAACAATTACTTCTCTACCAATCTACACGGTGGTGCTGCTGGAAACGGAGGTACAGACAATGGATCGAACCAGTTACTCCCCATTACAATTGCCCATAGGAAACGAGGGAATGAATACCAAGCAGAGTGGGCCCTTTATGGGCTCCCAACAATTCCAGTTCCATCAACTCTCTAAAGCTCTAGTTGAGCAAAGTAGGCAAATTATAGCCCACAGGCCAAACTGGGCCAAATTCAGCCACCTCCTGTGTTTGTATGGCCTGCAAGCTAAGAATGGTTTCTACATTTTTAAATGGTAAAACAAAGAGTCACATTTTATGACACATGAAAATTATATGAAATTTAAATGTCAGCATCCAAAAATAAAGTTTTCATTGGAACATCACTATGCTTATTTATTTACGTGTTGTCCATAGCCGCTTCTGGCACTACCATGGCAGAGATGACGGAGACCCTATAGCACACCAACCCTACAATATTTACTACCTGGCCTTTTACAGAAGTATGCTGAACCTGGGCTAGAGCTTTTCTTTATGCTCGCCGGGTTGCATCTCCTTTCTCTGAGGTGGTCCACCGCTTCACAAGGTAGAGACTCTAAGCTTGACAGATGTCCATCTTGGGGCTGTGTTGTCGGAAGTTATGTCATTACATAAAATATCGTGCAACTCATTAGGGTGAGCACAAAGACAAAGCAACAAATCACACATTTGGAAGGCCCTGAAGAAGTAGCAGGATCCAAATACAACATTACAGGCAGTACATCTCAGATCTTTGACCAGACTACTACATCGAGTTCTGGGTCACACGGTGAAAGGAAACAAGAACCCACAGAGAATTTGGAGGTTGAAGAGATGATGGAAAGAGCTAAAAAATCACACCACTAAAGAAATGCTCAAAGAAATGGGACTCGTTTGCCCAAAAAAGAGAAAGGTAAGACGGGAACTACAATAGTGAGGGTGTCAAATTCTACATTTGTTGATAGATTAAATTTTTACTGATGAAAATAATGGCAGCCTGAACTAATATTCCACAAAACACATATCTAGTGAATTAAATGTGATTCTTAATGAGACTGCCACTCCTGCCATAGGCCATAAACTAGCCCCTTAAAAGATAATCACTTGTCAAATACTGTACTGTAAGTCTTCAACTGACAGATTATAGGAATGTTCCTTTTTCAGAAACATGTGGCATTATGTAAGTTACCGGAAAAAGTGTGCTATTAATGTGCTGAGGTTCAGTAATATTCAAGCAACTAAAAGGTAATGTAAGTTTCATAACCATATGCCTTTCCACAGGACCAAATAGGGGGAAATGGGCTTAAATTACAGAATTTGTGTTACATTCAAGAATGTTCACGCAGTGGGGTTTTAATTACTCTAAAAGATTACGGAGGGAGGGTAAAGAACACTTCCCAGGACACCTCTGAATTAGATTGGAACTACCTGGATGTTTTTCTGAAGCAGGAGAATGGTTCTCAAATCCAATCGTCCAGTGCTAATTCTGTAGTTTTAACTCTCCCAGTTCTTATGAGAGCCTGCATCCATGCTGTTTCACTTTGTCTTAAGGGTGGTCAACGTACGTACAACTACACCTAACATAAATTCTAGTATCTCAAATCAAAATGTGGTGGTAGCTTTAATAACTTCTTTTAAATTACAGAGATAGAGAATACATTCCCATTTAAACCGGAAAAAAATGGGAAAATGGGCCTAGTTGCCAAATACTTCTATGAGCCTAAGTACCTTATCTCAAAATGTCCAACACTTGCACACAGCAAGTGAAGACGGTAGTTTTGAGCCTTTTAAAATACAGAATCCTTGAACACAAACTGTTCTTTGAGTCAATCTCAACACTGCAATTAGTAATACAAATTCTGAAACTTGCTCTAAATATAATTCTAATCAACCTCAGTTTTTCAACCTCGTAATTCTAAGGCCTGCATTTCCCTTAAGAAAACCCTTCCAAATGGGGTGAGGCACACACTAACCTGACTCACTAAACTTTCTCCACTCCTACATCACCTTTACAGGATTTTAAAACCAAGAGTACACAACACTTGCAAGCCACTTCTACAATCTTGCATTGACCTTACCAGGATAAACTTTTCCCCAAGTCACTTAGCACTTTTTAAAAATTCCTTTAAAGACCTGCGGTAGTGAAACAAAGAAAACGCAACCCCCTCCCCCTTTTCCAAACCATATGGCAGTAAATCGAAGTTAACTTATTTTTTTTTCTTTTTTTTTTTTTTTTTTTTTTTACCGGCTCAACGCCTGTACGCTGGTCCTAACCAGGTTTCTCTTTGTGCCCTGGGACTGGGCTAGCGCTGCCTGCTTATTCGCAACTGTACCCCGACCGCGCTGTTAGACCGAAAAACAAGTCCAAACCGCCCCCCTGGCCATCAGCAGACCTCCCCACGGTCATTTACCGAGACCTGGCCAGGGAGACGGTGCACGCTGGGCGAGGGAGTCGCGCTCCGGCCGGGGGATCGCGCAGGGAGTTTCCTCGCCCCGTCCGGGCCGGATCCGCCCCGGGAACTTGGTTACCCGAGCCCAGGGACGCGCCGAGGCCTAGCCGCGAGGCCGGGGCGGGCTCCGGGTGGCGGGGGCTTCCCGCTCCCCGGCCGCCCCGCGGTGGCCCGCGGGCACAGGCGCTCGCCCGCGTCTCCCGGCGACCGGACGCGCCTGGCGGGCCCACGGACGGCTCCTCGGGGTCCCGCCGCCGCCCGCGGCCCCGTTCGGCGGCCGCCCCGAGCCCTTCCGGGACGGCGAGAGCGCTAGGCCGCGCCGGAGCCCGCGGCTTCGGGGCCGGCCAGGCGGGCCGCGGCGTCCGGTATCAGTCCCGAGGGCCGGGCTCCCGCCGGTAACGGGCCCCGCCGGCTCCCCTCCCCCTCCCCCGCCCCATGACAGTGCAAACCCTCCGGCCGGCCCGGCCGCCCCGCCTCCGGCACCAGGCCCAGCGCAGGGCCGCGGCGGCCGTGGCGGCGGCCGTGGCGGCGGCGGCGGCGGCGGCGGCGGGGAGGCGGCGCGGTCCTCCGCCCTCGCTCGCCCGCCCGCTCGCTCCCAGGCCAGGCGCCTCGGGCCCGGCCCGGGCTCGCCCCAAGTCTCCGCCGCTGCCCCGCCGCCCTCTGCGGCGCCCGGCCCGGGCGGGGTAGGCCGAGGCCCGGCGGTGGGGGTGGGGGCGGGGGCTCCTCTCACCTTCATGTCGGGACATCCTAGTTGAGACGGTGGCGGCGCGGCCCCTCCCGAGCTCCGGCTGCAGTGTCCCCGGCGGGGTCCCGGCGCTACCCGCGCCGGCCGGCCGACTCCCACTCGACTCCCGGGCTCGGCCGCGGGGGCGGGGTGGGCAGGGGAGCGCTCCCGCGGCGGCGGCGGCGGCGGCGGCGGCGGCGGCGGCGGCGGCGGCGGCGGCGGGGAGGCGGCGCGGGGCGGGAATGGGGCCGGGCCTGGCCGGGGCTGAGCTCCTCCAGGAGGCGGGTCCGACGCCGCGGCTCCGCCGGCGCCCGCCGTGACTCGGTCACTCTCGGGCCCGCCGGCTCCCGGCTGCGGCGCCGCGCTCCGCAAATCCCGCTCCTCCCCTCCCCCGGCCCACCCCCCGCCCCTCTCCCCCGGCTCCCGGCCGCCGCCTCCGCCTCCGCCTCCGCCTCCTCCTCCTCCTCCTCCTCTTCCTCCTCCTCCGCCTCCTTCCGCCGTCCGCACGCCGGCCCCGCCTCTCGCTGCCCGCGCCGGGCCCAGCCGCCCGGAGGGCCCGCGGCCGGCGGTCCCGGCGGGGGAGGCGCGGCGCCTGCCCGCGCTCGCCAGCAGGCCGCGGTCGGCGCCGGAGCTGGGCCTGGGCCTGGGCCTGGGCCTGGGCCTGGGCCTGGGCCGGGCCGGGCCGCGCCGCCGCCGCCGCCGCGCAGCGCTTAGGGAGGAAGAGGAAATGCCCGGCCGCTGCCGCCCGCTGCCCGCCGCCCGCCGGTGCTGCCGGCCCGCGTGGCCCGAGAGGCGCCCGCCGGCCCGGCCACCCCTGCTCCGTCTGGGCCCTACCCGGGTCCCGGCCGGGGGCGCCCCCCGCCGCCGCGCCGCGCGGGGCCGGGCCGGGCTGACCGCGGGCGGCGGGCGCTGCCCCCCGGAGCCGCGGCGCGGAGGCGCTCTTGGGCCCTCGGGCGCATGGGCGGCGGGCCCGGGGCTGCGAGCTGCGAGCTGCGAGCTGCGGGCCGCGGGCTGCGGGCCGGGCCGGGCCGGGCCCCGAGGACAGGCTGCGCACGCCTGGGCACTCGTGTTTGTGACTGGCTTTCAGCCGGCTGCTCGGAAGGCAGAGGCGGCCGGCCTCGGTCGTCGCCGGCTGCTTCCCGGCCGGTGACTCGCGGTCGGGAGGGGGCGCGGGGGCGCTCCGGGGCTCCGGGGCAGGCTCCTCGGGGAGCATCCCGAAGCCTCCGCCCCGCCAGCCCGGGTGTCCCACGGGACCCGCGCGCCCGCACGCTGCTCCCCCGGAATGCGCTGCTTGGACAACTGTTGCGCTGCGGGGGGGTGTATTTTCCGCTTTTTTTTCCCCCCTGCCCAGGGACCCCTTTCCCGTCTTCATTTCCCTTTTACATTTTTACCCTCTCCCCTGTCGACTTTGTTTTCAGGCTTATTAATTCAACAGATGGGTGTACTGCCCCTGCCCACGTGCTCGTGGGAGCGTGGTTGGTGGAAACGGACCGTGCTTCGGGGGCAAGATCCATCAGCCATCGCATTATGGTTCTGATAGCCTCTGTGTAACCTTGGACAAGTTCTTTAACCCTGCTGAACCTCCGGTTCTTTGTCCTGTGTTTGGTTTTGGTTATTTTGATTTATGCTTTTATATTTGAAATTGTTCTGGATTTTTTTGGTGTGTGTGTGTGTGTGTGTGTGTGTGTGTGTAAAATTCTGTCCCTAGGCTAAGGTTACTGTTAATCCTGTACACCGTTACCAGCTGTGTGACCTGCAGCAAGTAACCGCCTCCCTATGCCTTGATTTCCCCATCTTTAAAATGAGCATGATTACAGATGATAACTATGGCTAATAGTGATAATAACAGGTAGGTATTTGGAGGATTAAGTGCTAAAACGTATATAAAATATTTAGCATAAGACATAGTAAAAATAGTGTTTGTTACCATATATAATTAAATCTGTTTTCAAAGCGTTTCCTGATGTCAGACGTGTTACAAAGCTCATCTTAAAGGGATAGGTATTAGGTCACTCAGATCTACCCAACGACTGTATTTGGTAATAACTCCTGATAAACTAGATACCCGCCAAATAAGGTTTTACACAAATGGGGATCTAAACCAGGACTTTGTCACCAGAAATATTTCCATTGCACTTCAGGAGCTTTTGCCTAAATTAAATCCAGCACAGCTGTTGAAGAAAGAGGACTAGGACAGGGCTTCCAGAAACAAGGCTAGCTAACGCTGACGCTGACTGAATGCTTAGCTGCATCTTTCTAAGCACTTTACAGTATTGGGGTGTGTGATCCTGGGCACCAAGCGCTCAGGAGTTCTGTTACTTGTGCTATAAAAGTGAGGACAATACCACCCTACAGTTTCGTGATGAGTAAATGATGTCTGTAAATACATTGAACACAGAGATTAAGGCATTAATAATAATAGTCAAAACATGGAAAGGAAAAAAAAAAAAACATGCTAGAGCAGGTAGGAGAACTGACAACAATACTGTACTCCAGGAAGGAATAAGAGTAAGTAACAGACGTTTAGTTTGTTTTGGTTTTGGGGGCGTCGTTAGCCAATTCTGTTAAGGAGGACAAACAGGTAAGTGTCTAAACATCAAGGGAATATCAGATCTTGACAGTTAGCCCATAGTTTTCAGTTGGTCAAAAGTAAGAAAACAAGGGAGTGACTACACGTTGTTCTTTGCATAAGAGTAAGCAAGAATATTATAATTATTTGGGATTTTCATTTTTTTTTTTTTAAGATTTTATTTTTTTATGGGAGAGGCAGAGGGAGAAGCAGGCTCCATGCAGGGAGCCCAATGTGGGACTCGATCCTGGGGCCTCAGGATCACGCCCTGGGCCTAAGGCAAGCACCAAACCGCTGGGCCACCGGGGCGGCCCTGAATAAGCTTTTTAGGTTGGTTAATTGTGCTAACGTCCACTTCCTGGCTCTGATAGTTTCCTATAGTTTTGTAAGTTGTTACTACCATTGGAAGGAGCCAGGGGACTATACATGGGCCCTCCCTGCAACTTCCTGTGTGTATTATTATTTCAGAGTAAAAAATTAATAGATCAATATACTTCAAACAGCACATCTCAATAGATTGGATGTAGAGGCAAGTAAGGTAATCCAGCTGTCTTCAGCTAAGCCAAAAGTTAAAGGTATTTGCAAAACTAGAAAATGTTGTCACACCTACAAATGTTTTTGTTTTGAAAAAACTCTTAAAAATATTTGTGTACCCATTAGGAAATGGGTTTATTTCAAGTGTGTAAAGGGATTCTGAGACTAGAACCTTTAAGAATCTGCCTTTAGAGATTCTCACGACCCCCTCATTGTACGAATGAGAAACGATAATGATGCATGCGGATGCTTGAGTGCGTGCTCTGGTATGTGTAGCAGGCATAGTTCTAGGCCCTTTACTCGTGGGTGCTATTTTATCTTTATTTTACTCATAAGCCAAGTGAGGCACAGAGAACTTAACTGAGTTGGCCACGCAAATAGTCACTGGTAGAGCTAGGATTGAGCCCCTGTGGTTCTAGGGGCTCTGCTGCTGCCTGGTTTCCTGCCACCTCCCTGGAGGCCTGGAAAGGATCAGAAAGGCTCATGCCATCTAGTTACCTCACACCTGTATGCTCTCCTGCTAACCTCACAGTCCCTGCAAGTCACTGAGGCCTTGAACACACTTTCCAGTTTTCATTTCCAGTTCTGCCACCCTGAGTATTTTCAAGCATGGCCTTGCAGTGCCTTTATTTCAAGTCTAAATGTGCACCTACACTTCCACCACCTGCTCCCCTCATGACCATACCCAGAACTGGGATATACAACCCTGTTTTATTATAACTTACTGTTCCAGTTTTCTTAATCTACGATTCAATATATCCTTTTACTTGAGAACTCCAATCCCTCGGACTTCCCATTTGGCCCTTATTTTTTCTTTCAACTCCATTCTCTTCCTGACCCAGTGGGTTCCGATCGGCCACTCAAGCTATTCTCAATCATAACCTTTGACTCCTGAGACTCCTCATTTTCAAGCTGCACCGGCTCTGCAAATTCCCAGTCCTGAATCAGTTTCATGACTCCATTTCTCCCCACCTATACCTAACTTGGGGTGCAGAACATTAAAAATAAAGGATGTGGAGAGCTGTTACAAAATCTAGTGCATCCTATTGCAGTTGGACCTCCGTGTTCCATGGTAGGTGTCTTTGATCAGCACTCTCTACCATTCTCAGATCACTATAAACCTTCACTTGGTTTCACCTGCTTATGCATCCACCTCCCCAATAGATAACCTTGCCTTCTAATCACAGAGAAAATAAAGTTTAAGAAGCAAGAACTTGGGACAGCCCGGGTGGCTCAGCGGTTTAGCGCCACCTTCAGCCCAGGGCCTGATCCTGGAGACCCCGGTATCCAGTCCCGCGTCATGCACCCTGCATGGAGCCTGCTTCTCCCTCTGCCTGTCTCTCATAAATTAAATAAATAAATAAATAAATATAAATAAATAAATAAAATCTTAAAAAAAAGAAAAAAGAAGAAGCAAGGACTTCACACAGTGAACCTCCAAGGAAATTTGTACATGTGTATCCTGCTGCTTCACACCCTCGCTCCCATCCCAGAACTGAGGTGTCCCTCTTTTGGTTCAATCCCACCTTTGCTGAGGATCCCACTTCATCCCATCTTAGATCATGCTCCTTAAACCACCCCCTGAACATCTGTACTGCCAACTGCTCAGCCTTACTGGTTCATTTCCCTTGTCCAAAAACATTCCAACCCTATACTACCCCTGGTTATTGTCCTGTTTCTTTCTCTTCATAGTCAAGTTCCTTGGAAGAACTATCACTTCTCTTCCTCAGCTTTGTAACCTGAGGAATTTGGTTGCTTGCTTTCTAATGCTGTGAGCCACTCTTGTATTCCCTACCATGTCTGTACTTTTACTGTATCCTCTATTGAGTTGAGCAACGTCACTGTCAATCTAGTCAGTGACCGAAGATGAAACCAACCGTCCTCCTGGACTTCCTTCCCATTACCTCTCCTGGCCAATCAGTCACATTGGGTTTTACTCAGGAAACATTGGTCAGGTTCATCTCTTTCTCCATGCCCATGCCAGCCAAACCATTGTAGACCACTACCAACCCTCCTCGAGACTCAGAGTGATCTCAACTCCTTACCATTAATCATATTCCTGTCTACTGTCCTTTGTGCCATTTCCAGTTAGCTTTTTTTTTTTTTTT